ATATATCTCAACATGCCCCCTCACACGAGAGCCCACTGGGCTTGAATGGTGGACAATGCACAGGCCCACTGTGCGAACAAAGAAATTCCACTTGAAAGAAATTGGGAGGCGGCGAGAATCGAACCTGAGACACGAGGCTCTGATACCATGTAACTTGGGATATACCACCCCAAAAGCTGCTCTGATACCATGTAACTTGGGATATACCACCCCAAAAGCTAGCTCAAAAGGTGGGAGTGCCCAAAGTCTTATAAACTCCACATTAGTTGCACATACAACCAATGTGGGACTATATATCTCAACACGCCCCCTCACACAAGAGCCCATTGGGCTTGAAGAGTGAAAGATGCAACAGGCCCAGTCTACCTGTGCTAAGAAACGCCACAAGAGAAAGTGGGGGGCGACGAGCCTCTGATACCATGTTAAGAACCTTGGGATACATCACCCAAAAGCTAGCTCAAAGGGTGAGAGTGTCCAAAGCCTTATAAACTCCATATTAGTTGCACATGCAACTAATGTGGGACTATATATCTCAACACGCCCCCTCACACGAGAGCCCATTGGGCTAGCTCAAAGGGTGGGAGTGCCCAAAGCCTTATAAACTCCATATTAGTTGCACATGCAACTAATGTGGGACTATATATCTCAACACGCCTCCTTACACGAGAGCCCATTGGGCTTGAAGAGTGGACAATGCAACATCACATCCTACCTGTGCTAAGAAACGCTACAAGAGAAAGTGGGGGGCGGCGAAGCTATGATACCATGTAAAGAACCTTGGGATACACCACTCCAAAAGCTAGCTCAAAGGGTGGGAGTGCCCAAAGCCTTATAAACTCCACATTGGTTGCACATACAACTAATGTGGGACTATATATCTCAATACGCCCCCTCACACGAGAGCCCATTGGGCTAGCTCAAAGGGTGGGAGTGCACAAAGCCTTATAAACTCCACATTAGTTGCACATACAACCAATGTGGGACTATATATCTCAACACGCCCACTCACACGAGAGCCCATTGGGCTTGAAGAGTGGACAATGCAACAACACATCCTACCTGTGCTAAGAAACGCCACAAGAGAAAGTGGGGGGCAGCGAGGCTCTGATACCATGTAAAGAACCTTGGGATACATTACTCTAAAAGCTAGCTCAAAGGGTGGGAGTGTCCAAGACCTTATAAACTCCACATTAGTTGCACATACAACCATTGTGGGACTATATATCTCAACGGTATATGCATAAAATAGTTTTCGAATTTGTCAACTTCCTTAGAAATTCAATTTCTTGTCAGGTTTTGTAAAAAAGATAACGCAAGATGTTAAGTAGATACATGTAACCTTAATTGCTAAATAAATTGCCTATATATATAAAAAAGAAATAAAAAATGACGTCGTTTCACATCCTCGTCTGCACACTCTCATATGGGAACGATTGAATATTCAAATCTATATTGCCCCAAAAACGAATGCATCTCATTTCACATTCTTTACATGGATAAAATTCTTCCACATGGTCATGTTAACTAGAAAGAATCTATTTCAATTATATACACATTCTAGTCACAAAAAATACCATCCTTTTGCTAGCACAATATCCATTCCCAAATGTAAATATTGATTTTTTTAAAATCATTTGGAGGAGCTGCTGCCATCCCCTACAGCTTTAGTTAAACTTGACAAATCTTGTGACATGACTAGCTAGGTTTAAAAACCTCTCGGATGTAGCTTCTTCTTCTTCTTTTGACAGTGTTATGGATCGATATAATGAGTCCATTAAGTGGTAAGCTCAACCAGAGGCAATCTAAGATATGAATTGATATTAACAAAGGATAGATATCCATCAAGCATACTAATCCTAATACGACAGTATAGCAAACAAGCTTAGGCCCTCATCAGAGATACCAAAGGCACATCCGCACTATCCACAGGTAACCTCTATAAATACAAGGTAAACCTTAAAGGTACGTTACGCTCTCTCTCTTACTGTTATGCTGTCACTGTGCGCACACATACCTCATTAGTTAACACCGTAACAATATTCTGTGCACAGTGATCTGCTTGACTCAAGGGTATCTCATTCATAGATACCTTGGAGAGGGCACTAGATCCAAGATCGACATACCAACCTACTGGACTGGACATCTCTGTCTCAAGGACAAAAGAGATAGTTTCTCGGATGTAGCTTCAATTATTACTAGCAGTGTCTCCCTCGTAACAACTGGCCTTTCTCTCCAAGTATATTTTGTGGGTTGAATGATGTCTTTGATTGTTGCCTAGCAGAATGTCGAATTAGTCCAAGACTCCAAGTGGTCTTAAAGGTAAAGCTGTCTAAAAAGTGCCATACGTAGGCCTGCACGTTGATTAGGCCCAATGTTAATTTTCACAAATAATATTCAATTATTAAATAATACGACAATATGTCATTAGATAAAAAAAAAATATTTTTTACAATTAAAAATTAAATTCATACATCATATATATTGAATACCAAATGGAGGAAGAAAAACACTACACACTGACCACGAGTTTTGACCAATTAATGCGTAGAAAAAGAAAATAATCCTATCGGCCGGCCAATCGACGAAAAAAGACTCTGCACGTGCGAGCAAACATATACACAGAAATCAATGCTTTTAATTTCTTAGAACTTGAAAAGAATAAAAAGTCTCCCCTCCGACAACGTGAAAGTTATACTTATTATTATTTTTATTTTATTATTTTTTTGATTATCGTTGAATCAATTTAAAATCAATGTCAGTTAGTTTTATTTTTAACTGTTTGTTCAATGCTAATTATATAAGTAATAAAAAGAATAAATCTAAAATGATAGTAAATATAATGCCGTCATTAAATAATTTGAATTATCTAGTGAGAAACTTATGTCTTTTTCTCTTAATATTGTGAAGTATTTTAAAGTAGTATAGTGCTCTTTGTTTGTTTTTTTTCCTTCACATGTATTAAATAAGTAGGATTTAATTATTATTAATGAAAAAAAGATAGACATAAAAAATTTGCACGACATTCTCATGTAAAATTTTAACAAGAGATATTTATCAAAAAAATAAAATAAAAATAAATTTTAACAAGAGAGTATACATTTCCCTCTTAGATATAGTTGTATGGATTAAAGAGAAGTTACCATAAGTTTTTAGACAAAAGTATAAAAGAGGGATAGTGAAAGCCGAAAGGGTCACACAATAATAAAATGCAAGATGATTTTACAATGACCGAAGATGGGTATTAAAAAATAGAAAGATATTTCCTAATTGTAATAGAAAGTCATAACCGTTTTCCCCAAAAAATTTCGTTGTTGTGCGTAAGCATGACATGTTTGCACCCCTTAAATAAGCCTATATAATCTGCTCGTAGGATAAAGCTGGTGAGGCTTTCTTTTGGGGGAAAAAAACTGATCTTTGATATTAACAAATAAAAGAGTACTTATGGTTAGAAAAATTTGGACTCGATTTTATTGAAAGGTATCTATAATGTATAATAGGAATAAAAATATTATTTTGGGCTATTTTGCTATTGTAATATTCTAGAATATTTTATTTCTCTTTTTTCTCTTCTATTTAAGAGCTACAATTATGTACAAATTAATCATCATCCAATTATATCAATATTTTTTCTTATTTCTCTTTGCCATAATGGTGTCGGAGTATTGTGTCGTATCTCATGTCCCGTGTTAGTGTCGATGTCAATGCAACATAGTATATAAGAGCTCCAATCATGTACAAATTATTCATCAACCAATGACATCAATATTTACCCTTATTTCTCCTTGCCATAATTCTAATATAAATTATTTCATAAAATGCTTTCTAATTAATTTAATATATTGTTACATTGATTATTTAAAAATTTGAACATTTTATATAATTAAATATTAAAAATGTAATAACATAAAATAGGATAATAGCATAAAATAATTTTATACTGACATTTAATAAAAACAAAACTAATTCGAAAAGAGACAACTTATATCATCTTAAACTTTTGTAAAAAGGAAAAAAGTTTGAAGATTCATGTATTGCTTTATATATTGTGTCAAATAATTATTTTGTTGGTTTTGTTAATATATGTGTACGCATTAGAAAATTGAACAAAAGTATTTTAAAATATAATTATTAGTATTAAATATTTTAAAATTTGAAGAATTAATATTTTCTTCTTGAATTAATCAAAAAGAGGTATAAATATATTCTTATTACGTTATAAAGACACATCTTAGCAAAACTTTAAATCTTGTATTTAAAATAATAATAAGATAATCATTCATTAACTTGTTCTATAAAACTTCTTTGGATTGACGGCCTGTTTGATATGGAATTATTTCCACTTTAAAGAAAACAAATTACATTCCGTAAGCACGTACGCTTACCACTTAATTACTAGAAGGACGTAAAGTAATGCTATTTACCAAAATGAAGTCAAAGCCAAAATGGTGGAAAGCGCCAACTAGTAAAACCAGTACTCTTCCAAGAAATTTCAGCGTCACAAGGGCACAACCCTTTCTCCTTCTCCGTACATGACTTTTTGGAGCTAGATATTTGGATTTATATGTATATTCTCAATTTTTTGCTAAAGAAATTCATGTACGATTCATTCATTCATATTGATCAATAAATTCCCAAAAGGCTATTTTGACCGTTATTACCTCTATCTCGCCAATTGGTCAAAACAAAAGGGTATACCTCATTAAGAAATACTTCCTTTTCAAACCTAAGTACATTGACCTTCTTTCGTACACTTAATTTGCGTAATTCATTAGTAAGTGCAAACCCGTAGTTTCTGGTTGGTCAACTGATCAATCAATCAACCTGCATATATATAAATTATAATTCGAAGAACGAAAATGATATATATCAGTGCTCTCTCCCTCTTTCTCCGTCCCCTCTTTCTTAATCTTGTGGGGGTTACAGTGTGCTTACTTAAATTTTGAGCTGCTAAGTTAAGTAGCTAGCTAATATCTTTTTTTGTTGTATAAAAGGATCGAAGCATGAAGGACGTCCTGAGGGAAGAGCAAATTGGTGAGTTTCTGGAAGCTTTCTGTCTTTTTGACAAAGATGGAGATGGTACGTACGTTACGCTTATTTATTTTGCATTTAATTAAAATCATCTACTCATTACATTCTTATATATATACTCTCAATTGAAGTTAATTTATCTGGTTCGACGTTTTTTTTTTCCGGTTTTTTGTTTGTTTGCTCCGTTGCGTGCTTGCTTTGTCCCTTAATATGGTCTCTTTTCTTAATTATATACCTGATGGCATGTCAATTTAATTTGTTATATTATAAAAGGCTGCATAACCATCGAAGAATTAGGCACTGCAATCAGATCACTAGATGAAAATCCTACGGTAGAAGAGTTGCAAATTATGATGAACGAAGGGGATATGAACGGCAACGGAACCATAGAATTCGGGGAATTCTTGAATCTCATGGCCAGAAAAATGAAGGTGCGTGAAAAGAAACATAATTAATTAATTTGGTTATCAACGAGACTAGTACTGTACAGATGAAAATTAATGTTAATCATGCATATTATTTGTTTCGAACAAAAAGGAAACCGAAGCAGAAGAGGAATTGAAGGAAGCTTTCAGGGTATTTGACAAAGATCAAGATGGTTACATATCGCTCAGTGAGGTTCAAATAACTAATTGTTTCGGGAATTATATATATATATATAACTTAATTTTTTTTTTGGTGCATTATATATCTTAATTTGTTTAATGACATACGTTCATGTAATGAACCATATAGTTGATATGTGTATATGTGTGTGCGTGCGTGCATGCAGTTGAGGTCTGTAATGAGAACTATTGGAGAGAAGGTGACAGACGAAGAACTGGAGCAGATGATCAAAGAGGCTGATTTGGATAGTGACGGTCTCGTTGATTATGAAGAGTTCGTGAGGATGATGTTGGCTGTTTAATTCAGTACTGTTAATTTTTTATGAGTACTTCAATTTTAACTTAATTACACACACACACATATGCCTAGCTAGGGTTGGGTGGGTCATTTATAGAAGGACCCGATCTTTTAAAGCAGGTAGCTATTTATGAATCTATCTAAATGGCATTATGGCCCGTTATTAACTCGGAGCCAAATAAATAACACGTGTACTGGTATATTTTTAATGTTTGATTAGTGTTTCCTAGAGGTAGGTAGGAAACTAGCTAACTAGATTATCGTAACTCTCAATCCTTGTTCGTTACCAAATTCTCCTAAATATATATATATATATATATATATATATATATATATATTATTAATTATGTATATAATATTTAATTGCATATATTAAAGTTATTAATTGATAAGAGGTGCTTATAAAATAAACAAATAAATTTGACAAGAGGAAAAAATCTCGAGTGTTGAGTTCTCTAGATAGTCATCCCAAACGTTTCACATTAGATTGAGGAAGTAAATTTCTCATTGGTTTTTCATCCAAGATTTCAACCAAGGAAATAAGCTCAATTCAACTATTGAAAAGATGTCTATATATTTCGATATAAATTTCATCTGTTGCACCTTCAAATTCCTAAAGCAAACCTAGACCCGATTTGCTCTTCCAAAATGCAAAACTTAATAAGATATTTCATACATAGGCCGTTGCTTTCCCATGGCATGCAATAAAACACTGCAAGAAACCACAAGTCAACAGTCATTTTCTTCTTCCTTTGTTCGGTTAATTAAGACAAATACGGAAAAGACGGGGAAAATACATTGACGAAGTTTCTGGTAAAGTGGGCTACTCAGAATTGTATATAAGGTGTGTCTCCTGCGAATAATATGCAGAGACACAGGAGAGATAATATAACCATAGAAATGTCCGCAGGGGCTAACTTTATCTCCAGCTTTGACGAGACAGTAAAACCATTGTATAAAGGGCTTCTCTTTTCTCATGTCACATGAGATATCATCTCTCATGTCATAGACACAATAAGTGGTGGGGCCCACCACTTACTAAAAAAGAAGAAAAACTAAAAAGATAGCACGAATTTCGATGTCTCACAACATGAGAAAACTATCTCCTATTACGTAAGAAAATGATTTCCCTTGTATAAAAGGCATCACGGAGTTCAGCTAAATAGAGCTTCGTCACATAAAAAGAGAGGTAACATCTTCCAAATCTATCTTGAGAAAAATCCTGCTCACATCATGTGCTTAACATCTTCTATATATTAGGTTATACGCGCGAATTGCCAGAGATGGATAGATCATGTTTCTTTAACAAGCTAGCTACGCCCCCAGGGTTGAGAAATATGGACAGTTACTTATTATTGACGGTCTATATTAATTAATCACGGACAGAACTAGGGTTGAAGGTATGAAGTTGAAAAAAAAAATGAATTAAAGTCAAATATTCTTTAGCATATATATGTTCATCACTTTAATTATAGTTAAACTAATTAATGTAATAAATATTAATATAAGTGTTCTGGACCGGCCTTCACAACCCAATTATACTACTAGGCTAATCTACATAGATCTCCTTTCCTATTTCCCTGTATAACTTATAGTAGTGCGCATCCTCACTCACAACAATGAGGTAATGGACAAATTAAAACATTTAGGCTTTTTCTCTCATATCACGAGGGGATATTATTTCCACCTATGTATATCCCTCTTCGCCACTGATGAGTCATCTTGCATCCATTATGTTAAAAATCTTGAGATATATCACCCCAAAAGCTAGCTCAAAGGGTGGGAGTGCTCAAGGCCTTCTAAACTCTACATTAGTTGCACATACAACCAATGTGAGACTATATATCTCAACACGCCCCCTCACACAAGATCTCATTGGGCTTGAAGAGTGGACAATGCAACATGCCCAACCTACCTGTGCTAAGAAACGCCACAAGAGAAAGTGGGGGGCGGCGAGGCTCTGATACCATATTATAATAAAAAAACACAGAGATTTATCGTGGTTCAGCCATAGGCCTACATCCACACTGATGACGTTTCTCCCCCTCTCAGTGATGATTCAGGAGGGGGGGTTCCATTCAATATAAATAATAGGTGATACAATAATTGGGCCAAATTATTTTGCCCACAATCAAAGAAATCATATGATTTGTTTCCCTCTTTGTGGGTTATATTTGATACATGATTACAATCAATCAAATCTCCTAATTTATTTTCTCTGATATCTCTAACACTCCCCCTCCAAGTTGAGGCGAAGATGTCAATCAAGCCCAGCTTGGTAATGATGTTTTGAAAGGAGCTATTAAGAAGAGCCTTTGTGAACATGTCTGCAAGTTGATCTTCACTTCGGATATACGGTGTCTCAATTATCTTAGCTTGAACTTTTTCTCGAACAAAATGGCAATCCACTTCAATGTGTTTAGTTCTCTTGTGAAACACAGGATTGGATGCGATATGAATAGCTGCTTGGTTATCACAGTACAACTTAATAGGGAACTCCATTTTCTTCAAGGTGAGGTCAAACAGGAGATCTTTGAGCCAAATAAGCTCACTGGTGGCTGAGGCCATAGCACGATATTCTGCTTTTGCACTAGAACGAGCTACTACAGTCTCTTTTTTACTTTTCAGGAGTTGTTACTCTATTGAATTCTAGAGTTAGGATACCCTTACACATTTCCTCTCTTTTAACCGTACTTGAGATAACACTTATAATGTCTCTTTTAGATCTCTGATCGATCCATATCATTGTCTCTTTGAGTACTACACAGTGAGACACTACACCCCTTGATAGACGCAGACCTAGCTCTAACTCCATATATACTAGCTCAATATGTAACCGTTAATTTTTTTCAATAGAAGGTAAAAATGAATTAATATTCTAAATTCTTATTTGCATGGATAAGACAAAAGTATTTAAAATAAAAATTCTGTTATAAATATTTATATTAAGTTTATCAAGTTTTTTAAATCACGGTGGGTAAGCATGCCTGCTTGCCACCCTAGATCTGTATATAATTAATGTCAACAATGCTCCTTGTTGCCCTGGACAAATTGAATTTGGAAGATTAGCAGGAAATAGAGACAGCTTCTTCATGACATACCGAATATTTCTACATGCTTTCTTCCAAATCCATTTTGGTGCTTTTGCATCATTTGTATGCCAATAGATAATTTTTTTTAGCAAAACTAACTAGTAATAGGACGGGCGAGATGAGAGGGGTCTGAGAAAGAGAGGAATTTTTTCCGTATGTGTAGAAGACATACAAGTTGATCAGAAAGATTCAATTGTTTGAAAGTAGTAAACTTCATATAATAAATATAGAGATATAACACATCTATGTGAGTAAGTTTAGTTTCAGATATCCTTTGTTCGGAAAAAAAATTAAAGAGAGGGGAAAGAAAAACTGAGAATGAAATGACACGCACATGCATTAATGCATTACTGTTCTTTCATTCTGTCCATTTTCTTCTTCTCCTCATTCCATTTACCCCAAGTAATTCCAGAAAGTTTGAGATAATATTTTCATCAAAATAATTAAGGTATGTAGTTTCCAAAATTTAAAGTTGTAAAACCATATACAAGAAACAAACCCTCTTATTAAAATCTAGGTGGCCCAAGTTGATGAAACTTACACATTGATAAGGACTTAATTAATTGATAGTATGTTATGCTCATATGCGAATAACATGCATTTTGCTATACGATGCTGCAGTTATGAATATTGCATACTATAATCAATTCCACAGAAAGAACCACAATAAAATTTAGTACCCTTTATGCAATTATGAAAACTTGTTTATTTTAATTAAATTGTCACTTCAAGCATCTCAATTAGGAATTGATAGATTGAAAATGGGTGAGGTAAATGAGAGACATAGATATATATACAGAAGAGGAGAAGGGGTGGGATGGGAAACTCCAATTTCCAATTGTTCATATCTATATATATTAAGTTTCTGTACGTAGATCTAGAAGTTTGGACTTGATCCTCAGGTAAGTAGCTAGAACGAAAAGGGAACGGGTTAATGTAAATATACAGATCATAAGATACATGAGAGTAGCAAAATTAATTTAGAACTAAGCATACGCTTCATAATAAATACAAACTAACAGTATGTGACCATGGAAAATTAAAAATTAAAAAAAAAAAAAAAAAAAAAAAAAAACCCATCTGTTTCTAACCCCTCTCCCTTCATGTTTCTTTTTCCATATCCAAGTAAGATGAATGCCAATTAAAACATAATAAATAAATTTAGAGAACAGAAGAATACAGCAATCTAGCCAAATTCAAAAAACATGCATATATTTATAGCTATGAATTAAAAAATGCATGAGGAAAAAGCAATAATGAGATAACTCATATATAGATAATCATACATATAAAAACAAAACTAGCAAAGGAAAAATGAAATCAAATTTTTTAGGGTTCCGCCATACCGATTGAAATCGTACTTGTGAATCAGAAGGCTAATTAGGGTTTCTATGCTTCCATTCAACAGGTGAAGCTCCCACATGATCTGTTCTTGCCACATATATAAGAAGAAGGTAAGCTCAGATCATGCTGGCAGCTTTAACTGCTGTTAGTGCACGATAGGATAATATATACGAGCCTTCCATCAATAGTAGCTTATAATCCTCATCTCTATTCAATCCTGCGGCTATGGATATATTTGTACTTCTTCAGATCTCGTTTCCTTTCCTCTTCTTTTTCAAACTTGAGGACTGCGTAAAGGTAAGATAGATAGGAGGATTAGAAACGTTATAGCTAGCAAAGGAATAGTAGAAGTATATATGGTTAATTCCTTTTTCGTTTTTGGTACTTTTTTTTTTTTAATAATATTATTATATATTAAGCTAGATTTGGACCATCTCTGATTCTAAGCAGCTAGTTTTGCTGTTTCCAGTGTCATCTGTTTTGTCTCATACGATGAAGATAGATCACTGTCTCTCTCTTTCTTTGGAGTTTTTGGAATAGCATCTACAAATGAATATTCACTGCATAA